ATGGTGGTGGAGGCGGTGGTAGGGTACAATATTCGCGGTGTAAATCAGGTTATATGAGTTAATGCTTCCCCTTTTTTTTATTATATATCATTTTTGAAGTATAGAAACAGTAATAAAATAGTAATAATGAATGTATATATATATGTATATATGTATGTATGTAAGTGATTATTTAGTAAGTAAGTTTAGCAAATAAGCAAAAAAATTGTGATAAATATATATGTATAAACAGCTGCTAATGCTTATAATAATTAAAATAGAGATAGTGATGTAATGTAGCGGTATTATTATTATTATTAATAATAGACATAATGTATATTTAATAAAATAGTAATAATACGTATATATATATATATATATATGTAAGCAATTATTCAGTAAGTAAGCAAAAAAAAGTGATAAAAAAAAAATATATGTATACATAGATGCTAGTGCTTACAATAATAATTAAAATAGAAACAGTAATGTAATGTTGCGGTATTATTAATATGTAAGTAACTATTTTAAAAAAAAAATAGTAATAAATATGGGGTTTGTTGTGACGGCCAGAAGTGGCTTATAACTACTAATGCCTTCCTCTAGAGTCCATTTCGTTGGTAATAATAAAATTATGTAAACATGCTGTTGCATGAACTATGTTTTCAGCAGTTTCAAGCTTGCAGCGCAATGGTGCTTGATGGACTGCCCACCTCGCAACGAGAATGCCAAAAGAATTTTCGATCACTCTGCGAGCTCTGGAGAGGCGATAATTAAATACGCGTTCCTTGTTGCCTAGAAGGTTTCGTCTTGCATACGGTCGCATCATGTACGGTTTTAGAGAAAAGGCTTCATCCCCAATAAAAGAAAAAGGGTGTGGAACGTCGGTATCAGGAAGATTTCTTGGTGTTGGTAGATCTATCAAACCGTGATTCAAGGTTTTCCCCAATCGCAATTTGCAAAAATTCCAGCATCATTTAATGAACCATGATCTCCAATATCTACCCAAGTAAAACGATAATGGGCATCACACGTGGCTAGGAGAATGAAACTGTATAAACCCTTGTAATTGTGAAAGGCTGTGCCTGATCGTGGTGGAGCAAAAATACGACAATGTTTGCCATCAATTGGACCCAAACAGTTTGGATAATTTCATTTCGTTTGAAAATCATTGGCAATTTCAATCCATTTATCTCTATTCGGCATTCTGAGATATATTGGCTGTAGTACTTGCACTATTTTCTTGCAAACTTCTTGAACAATTGAGTATATGGTTGATCTGCCAATAGAGAAAAACCAAGATGTCGTACGAATACTGTCTCCACGTGCAATGTAGCTGCAAATACAAAGATACAATAGTTATTGTTTGATATTTTACTTAATTTTCAATAAACTAACCTCAATGTGGCAGCAATTCGCAGTTCTGGCTCTAGAGGTTTTCGAATACTTTTTTTGATAAGGAGTGGTGCCAACAGTTCATGAAGGATATTGAATTGTTGCACTCTCATTCTTGTAAATTGAAAAAACTCTTCGTGATCACTGAGTTTGAAGTAGAAAAACAGCCGATTATACGCGCCAAAGTCGCATCTAATATTCTCAACAATGTAAGGTTTCACCCACCATCTTCTACTAATTCTTCGTTGATTTCGCTGCAATCTTTTTAATAGTATTTGTGAAACACTATTAGAGGCTTGCAATAAATTGAAAAAGACTCGAACATTTTTATGATCCATTTTCTTGCTTTCCAATTGATAGTAATATTTGAAAACTTAGGTTCTGCTTCGTGATTGGAAGGTTTGCCGGATCTGATGCATAATTTCTATTTCAACAAATTAAAATTAAAATAGATTATAATTATAAACTTTATATTAAAAAAGGGACTAATTTATATTTATTATTTATTTCGTCCATATTTTTAACAATTGTTTTCTTAATTTGCAAGGTGAACACATATTTATAAAATCAACGGTGAATTAAAGGATGGTATGTATTTGTTTTAAAATCTTTCATAAACGTTCATTACTTCTTCACTTTTTGAAAAAAAATGTCCACGACAGACCTCGAAAGTAAGTATGATTTCAGTTTTAACATTTTGTGTGAACCATTTAATACTATAATCCCATACCATTTACATAACATACCATAATATTTTTTTATAGTGAAAAAGCTTGAGATATGCTCTCCACCACCACCACCGCCACCGCCACCGCCACCGCCACCGCCGTCGGGAACACAGCCACCACGGGAGGCTATCCATCCTCCCCGTGGTGGCACATCGAGGAGGACGTCCCCGACCACGCGGCCACTGCCGCCACCGTCACCGCCGCAACTGCCGTCGGGGACACAGCCACCACGACACGATCCATCCTCCCCGTGGTGGCACATCGAGGAGGACGTCCACGACCACGCGGCCACTACGGCCAATGTGACTCTGGAGCAGAGGATGGAACGCCTGGAGCGTCTCCTGCTCCAGAATCACGATCCACGAAATGCCCCTGCCGGTAATTATATTTTAATTATTTATAGAAAAGCAATAAATAAATTAATATTAATTTATTAAAACTATTTATTATTTTTCGGTGCGATCAGACCCCAGATGGAGCAGTGGAGGCGGAAGAAGTCGAGCCAGGTGGTATGATCGGCGGTATGGGGCATACGGCAGAGGTCGTAGGGCCGGGCGGCGCGGCGGTGGCGGCGGCGGAGGAAATGTCATTATTTATTATTAATTTTATTTTAATTCTTTCTTCTATTGTTATTAAATATGCATACCATCCTTTAATTCACCGTTGATTTTATAAATATGTGTTCACCTTGCAAATTAAGCAAACAATTGTTAAAAATATGGACGAAATAAATAATAAATATAAATTGTGTTCAGCAACGGGTTTTTTCATCGACATATAGCATGAAGTACGCACAAACGTAGGAAAAATAGTTGGCTGATAGAAAAAAATGAAGACTGGTAGCGTCCAAGCCCTGTCTCTTTCTAATCAGCAGCCGTAGTACGAGAGTATAGAAAACGTAGCCAATGGGAACATTAGAAAAGGGGAGCTATTGGCCGTCATTTTTTCAAGACGTTTGAAGTAGGGACGCGTGATCCATGCTATATGTCAATGGATTTTTCCAGATTGGTAAGTTCTGTGATTGGTTGAATTTTGCACACGAAGTTTATTAACCAATGGAAGAAGAGCTTAAAATCCAACAGTTGGTTGCATTGTTGCCGGGGTTATTCGTCTTCACCATTCTGGTTTGCATCTTCAATTGCTACGCAATGTCTTGTAAGTACGCTTAGAATTTTTCAAAATATTTTTAACATAATCATAATTATAGATCATATTTTTGTGTCCTTTTTATTGATTTAAAATAAATAAATATATTTACTAGAAATATAAATTGGAAAAAACACTGAAATACGCTATTATAATATTATTAGAATGATATGGAAACCATTTGCACGCTTACAATCAGTAAGGATTGACAGGATCGACATCCTGACCAGAGTCATCATAATAAAAATGAAGAAAATATTAAAGAAAAACAAAATCCTCAGAGGGGGCAGGCCGCCTCTCCCCCCTTAACAAAACGTTTCGAGGCCCTGGAGCAGCAGGTATCTAACATGCACGAACTGCTCCAGGGTCTTGCTGCTGCAACTCCTGGTAAACATAATAGCGTGAAATGCTTAACCTTTTATATTAATTATATCTTATATGCTATATTAAAACTATTGAGACGTTTCGTGATTTTCAAGTGTTAGGAATCACGAGACTGTTTATAGGGTTTGTGCACTGGGCAGGCGTCTTTAGAAACAATTTAGACACTGGAGTTTTTAAAATGACAAAATAATGATATATTGTCCTATAAATTACAGACTAGGTATCCTTAATATTCTATTTTGCTCTTTCTCTCACACACATACATACACTTTATAATTGTCTCTAGCTTGCCTGTAATACCACAGGCGACAAGAATTGTTTTTGTTTACTTTATTATCTCTGCTAGCCTTTTGGTTTGGAGAGAGGTAGCTGGAACCACAATACAGCAGATTGCACAATGCGTCCGAAGACCGTGGTCCAGTTGAAGGTTAGGATGATAATGATTCAGTACCCACAGGAGATCACAATGAACCCCATTTGCTGAATCCCTTATCTTAAGGATAGGTTCGACTCAGACAGCTACTAATCACAATGATATTGGGAGCTGAGCTTTTTAAGGAGTGTGGTTGTTCTGTAGTGGTCGATTTCTGACAGCTCCAGCACAATGCCTTTGATGCAGAATATCTACAAGGCTGGCAGATTTCCTGATACAGGGTGGAGACATAATGCTTTCCAAGACCAGGATCTGCCCAGGATGAGTTCCCACAGTTTGCAGTACAATACTGTTCATTGGTTCGCTCTGGAACAGAGGATTGGTTTTTTTCCTAGCTTTTTAATAACTTATACTTTCCAAATCTTTACTGCCTTCTTGTCGTCTTGTGGCGTCGTCGAGTGGATCGACTGAATTGAGTGATTCGAGTGATCTGACTCC